CAACCTTTGGTTTATTTACCAAAATGCCATCAGCTGTCTGACACGTGCAACTCACGAGCAAATATTTACAAGGCTGTTCTTCTTTTCCTCTGGATCTTATCATAGACCCGCGAAGTACAGTACAATTTCTCTCTTCCTTTCTTTCTGCTACTTTATGCTGCCGGTCTGGTCTATCGACTTTCATGGGTTCTTCTACATCACCACCCTCTGTCGGCTTATCATTGCACTTCCTTTAATTTAATTTCATTTTATTTTTTGTTATTTATTATAATCATATAAATGAACCTGATCGAGTTTAGTGGATAAATACGAAATAAAAATTCCTTTTAAACAAAAAAAAAATTAATACGAAATTTATTATTAAAAAAAAAAAAAGTATATATATCTATATCTATATATATATATATATATGAGATTCAATTATGGTGGTTTTGTACAAAACTAAATTATGATTTTTTTTTTTTTACGTCTAATATATATATATATGTGTGTGTGTGTGTGTGTTTTTTAATAATTTGTTATTTTACATAATATTGTTAATTTAAACATATATTTGTACATATTGGGCTTATAAAAATATGAGAATGTTAGAATATATAAAAATATATAGTTTAATAATTCATTATTTTACATCAAGTACTACGTATTATAATGTTTTATCCACGTTTCCTTACAAAAATATATTGAGAATTAATGAAAATATATCGAAGTTATATATACATACATACATACGTACACATATGTATTTCATATGCAGATATAATTAGATACCATGAGAATATTCGAGCATACAAACTGAATTAATAATAGTTTTACCGTAGACAAATAATGAATGAATTAATTAATTAATATAAACATGCATGGCCCATTAATATTGCATGCAATTACAAGACAACAATTTATATCAAATCACCTTTTGCACGTAAGAGGTTACAGAAATATATATATATATATATATATATGTATATGTAATATGGCATAATTTTGTGTATATAATGATGAAAATCAATTTAATTAATTATTTTACTATTAAATAATTTATTTTACTTTTCGTTGTATGTATTTATATTGTCTCGACGTTCAATTTATTTGATTCCAAAATGCTCCGCTCTTCTTCTGGATAGGATAAGGAACCATCATTTAATTTTTCTTTTGTTTTTGTTCTTTTTCAATTTTTTTATTTTTAATTTTAATTCATAATACATTTATAATATTGCTGTATGTAATGTGATTTTGATATATGTATGCATGTTGTCTTTCTTGATGTCATGAAGCGATTTCTAACGCCAAAAAACAATTTAATTTATCATAAATACAAATATGCATAGATATACACACACAATATATATGTACATTTATGCATATATATATATATGGGTGTATATAAATATATGATATATTTTTCATGCATACACATAAACGTCGCACCGTGTATATTAAAAATATTAATTATCAAAAACCAAACAAGCATTACTTGTGTAGTCACATTGTTATATATATGTATATATACATATATATAACAAAAGGGATTTCGGTTTATTATTAAAAACGAAATAATGTGTAAAAAAAAAAAAAAAATTGGCATATTAAACTAATAAATAAACAATTTTTGTTTATAAAATTATTATTTAAAATTAGAATAATTTAATTTATAGCCGTATCCAAATATCAATTATAAGAAAAATAATAAAGATGTGCATAAACATATTTTATGTAAATATCTATATAATTATTAAAATATTATAATTATTTTAAAATTGTAATAAATTATTTTATTTTATATATAAATATGTAGACATTTATGTAATTTCCTCTTTTATCTTTTTATTTATTATTATTATATATATATATATGTATATATACGTTTGGGGGTGTCCACAAAATGGATAAAAGAAGACAACAAAGAAATGGACAGCACGTACCTCTCTGTCTGCGTGTGTTTGTGTTTGGGATTTATACACACCTCTCATGCACATCAGGCCCATACATCCCACTATCAACCCTTTTTTGGGCCCAGCTTAGTTTCCTTTTTTATTTTAATATTATATTATTTTCTAGCGTATTTTTTAAATATTTTACGTGCCTAATTTATACTATTTTTTATATAATTTTATAAAAAAAAATTGAAAAATAAATAAATAAATAAATAAATAAAAGAAGAAAGTAAATTTTGAAATAGGAAAGGAGGATGGAGTACACGTGGGGGGGGGGGGGGGAGTTCGTGAAATGGAAAATCTTCTAGAAGGGCAAAACGAGAAAAGCAACGTTACGATACGATACAGCAACTGAGATGTCACACCAATATTTGTCCCCAAATATATTTATACACACATATATAATTAATACTGACGAGTCTTTCTATAGTTTATGACTTTATAAAAGCCTCCTCAACTGTCTTCTTCTATACATATATACACATATATGTACATGGCTCTCTGCGTGTGTGTGTGTGTGTGTGTCTATATGTATATATAAAAAAGAAACAGCTAACAGTGACAAAACGAAACAGGGGAAAGGATCAAAAGAAACCCTCGAAATTCATGCCGGTTACTTTCTGTTGCATGCACTCTCTGCTTGACATTTACTACACATCTTCAATCTCTCTCTCTCTCTCTCTCCATACATATTGTCTGTTTGTGTATAGACGTACGTATATATGTATACGCATGAACATGTAATTTGTTTTATTATAAACTTTTATTAATGAGGAAACGCAGCTATCCACTCTCGAGTTAAATTTACATCCCTGTTAAGTCGATATCAACTGTAAATTTTCACCACGGTAAATATATATATATATGCTCGAACGTGTAAATTTTTTTACCACAATACATTCTTTAGTAGGAGATAGTAATACATGTGAATATTGATATAAGGAATTGCCATTAGAAAAGTACTGCATTAATACAAGTGAAATAAAACTAAACCACAGTGAGTAACCAAAATGTGATTTGATATGTTTTGTTTGTACAATATTTGTTTTGTGTCTTCATAATATATATGTATATAGATATAACGATGTGTTTTGTTTGTTTGGTCGTCGTGGGGGCTGTGTCGTGGGTAATGTTTTATGCGTACGATATACATATATGTATATATATGTGTGTGTGTGTGTGTGTATGTATATATTGATGTGTTTGGTTTGTGTGGTGAGCGTGGGGGCTGTGTTGTGGGCAATGTTATAACGCCCGCATTCGGAGTACCTTTTATCATGTGTCCATGTCTCATGTTTCCCTATCCCAAATACTTTACATGCATGTAAGCACACACCCACATATGTATATATATATATACCCCCTTTTTATATGCTTTTACTCCACTTCATATTTTACCGTGGTTAATTTTTTGTTGTTTAAACTATTTTAACCCTTTACTTATTATGGTGTAATTTCAGTGCTTTTTTATTTAATAAGAAAAATAAGAACCAACATATTTTAAACCCAATGCTTATACGTATTTTCAACCATATTAATTATATCAATTTTGACTATTGTCCAAGGCAAAAAAAAAAAAAAAAAAAAAAAACATATATATACATATATATATATACATATTATACAGTTTTATATTATTATGTATATATTTTTTAAATTATAAAATAATATTGTTAAATTTCCAAATAAATCTGAGTGGGTCCAAAAGTAAAGAGAC